GGGCTTTCATTCACAGTGTCATCATAAGTCACAAACAACTGGATGTGTTACCCCTTCCAAAATAGATGCCAGTGAGCTACTCCATTGACTGGACAAAACAGGGTACTCCAATTCATTATTCCATTCTTCTTTAGGTCCCAGTACATCATAGTTTTTCATGAATAATATTGATAAAGATGGATTGTGGGTTTTATTTATTTCATATGGCATAGCAGAATGCAGCATCATTGCATAAAAATCTATTAAAACAGTACATAAAATTTGTATAAAATATAAACCATTTAAAAATAGGAACCATAAATTATTTTAAAAACATGCAATACAAGTGATGAATAAAATTATGGATAAAATTAAGTTATGTACGAGCAGTTACTAAAGTGAGTAGGCCTACGGTCAAAAGTCTAGATCATTTCGCCACTGAACAGCAGTGCCCTCAAGATGATGCAATGTAAACTAGCCGCCTCGTGTTGCAGCCCCGGCAATGTGACTTGTCACAGCTAAATAGTCTACACTTTTGGCTGATAGACTTCACAAGGATTTCCCAGCAAGCAGCAGCAGCATGGATGGATTGTGGGTCAGTGTGGTTGTTCAGCCTAGATCAGCCCTCCAAGTAACAAAGGGGGCTTTGAAGCTGTAAAAGACAAACCTTGATTCTAACAAATGTTTCAGTTGCATATATTGCCATTCAGATATAGCTGGCAAAGCATATTTAGCATGTAACCAGAAAACATCCAGGAAGATTTCATCAGGACCTACAAGCTGACAGAAAAATGAGTCAAACAGAACAAATGTTTTCTTTCTAATATAAAACAAACTGTAGGTTTCCCCATAGTTAATTTTTCATGTGAAAATGACATGAAAGCATGCACCACACCTTACTTTCAGCCATTACTGTAGGAGACATCCTTTTTGTTTTGGTGCGCCAAGAAACCAATGCAATCCATTTGGGAATAAGTTTCAAACATGAAGATTCCAAAAATGATCAAGGAAAGGAATCCAATCTAAGCAGAAAAGACCAAAACATAGTACAAGTCAACAGGCCTGATGATAGGAAGAAAGATCAAGGAAGCAAAATCCACTCTAATGGAAATGTTCTGCCCTTTACAAAGATATTCATAGCCAACTAGTATTCCATAGGAATTTATAAAATGCAAATCACTGGTACAATATATTCATAATGCCCATTTACAAGTATAGCATTTCTATTCAGAACTAACTGCCATTTTATACTTTCTTGAGAAGCAGCTCCCTATATACACAGCATTACTCTAAACAGGAAGTTACCATAAGTTGGATAATTAAATCCATTCTATCCCTGATAAGGATTCAGCTATCAAACCAATTTGAACCAATAAAAGGGGCTTTGTGTTATGGAGGAAACCTGAATTTCCAGTGACATTCAAGGAGTAACTTCACATTGGGAACCTGTAACTTTGGAGCAAGTGCAAGTCAGTCCAAACAGGGTAAAAACCACTTACTTGCACAGGTGAACCACTACCAACAGTCAAAATTTGGCATGGTCTGATTATAAGTTCCAGAAGAACTGAATCATCCATATGCCTGTGCTTGTTTTGAAGATCAAATGTTTAATTTATACTTCAATCACATCTGTACTGCAGAAGAAAAATCTAGTTGATTAAAATGAAGTTATTCAAATATTTCATTAAAGTAAAACTGCTTGTCAGTGTGAAAAGAATATAAATTAAGAAGCTTGATCATAAGTAAAATATGAAGTTGTCTTCCTGTCATCATTAATCTTGACTTGTTTAACTTCAGAACATTGGGGATTTATTAATCATTAGGAATTTGGGCATTACTGTATTGTTGAAAATATTCAGTGCATTATTTGAAGTGGAGTTTTGCCATTCACAGCCCTTTGTCACCCTGGCAATGCTATGTGGTTTTCCTCTTATGCAGAGGAGCCTGGGTGGATTATAAAATTGGATGAGGTTAAAGTTGATCAAGTCTTATTTGTAGGTTTTTAAATGCTTGCTCATTAATCTTTCCTAGACTGTCATATATGCAAATAATGGGCAAGATTAATTTACCATCAATATGCAGTTCACAGCAAAATTAAGATAATTAACAAACCATATGAAGTTTCCTGTATTGACAAGCAAAACAGAAATGCTTAATGCAATGCTTTGTGTTTTACTGAACAATTCAAATAAGGCTGCTTATCCAGAAATGCATTCACTGCCAATGGTCACAATCATAGTAAAAATGGCTTTGTTTTGTTGGTGAATTTCTTTGAAAGCCCAGTGTTGGGTTATTACACAGAAGGTTTTAGGATAAATTAATGCACGACTACATGAGCTTTGTTTCTATTACGAATAATATTTTTCATAATTCTTAAGTTTATCTATTGCATCAGAACTTAATTACATATTCATAAATGAAAGATGACTATCCCAGAATGCTAACATGGTGTTTAGTCTCAGAATAATGTACACTGAGCTAGTCTGCTTGTTTACATAAAGCCACAGGACTTATTCACACCCTTTCTTTCAAGGTTTATTGTCAATCTTACAAAGTGCATGCATCTTTGAATGGTTTTGCGGTTTCAAAGTATTGGTCTTGGATTCCGCTAATATAAATGCGTATCTTTAAAAAGCTACAAATTATCAAGTTAGAGTTATTTTGCTGATATATCTACACCAAAGGAGGAGAACATACCAACGTATCTGAAGAGGATCTAAAGAGTCCAGCACACTATGCCAGTAACCATATCCGCCATAGTGCTGGCATAATAAGATTTCCACTGAATCCTGTAGCCCTTAACCAGCATAACTCAATTATAGGACAGTACTCTTAATTAGTGTGATACTATGAATGTAACTTTAATATTTTACTATAGTTTAATTAAGATTTTAAATTCTATTGGCATATCACATTCTTTTTGTTAATCATATTTTTATCCAATTTTTTTGTGGTTATCTGACAAGCGAGCTTCAAATTGCAAAAAGATCTCCATATAAACGCAAAGATTGTATTTTGTACCATTTAATGATAAGATTCAATCCAGACAAGATGGAGGTCCTCTTGGTGACTGGATGTCATTCCAGTTGGGAGATAGTCAATCTGTCATGGATGGGGTTGCACATGCATAAAGAACAAGATTCATAGTTTGGGGGTGCTCCTGGACCCAGAATTGTCGCTTGAGTCACAAGCAATTAAATGGATTTGGATTAAGTGGCACGGACTGCCTTTTATCTGCTAAGGCTGATCTACCAACGATGACCCTATCGGGATGAACAGAGCCTGGGTACAGTTATCCATGCTCTGGTAACCTCTTGTCTGTATGTGGAGCTGCCTTTGAAAATGGTCTGGAATTTCTAACTGATCAGAACAGAGCAGCATGGCTGTTAATGGGGACTGGCCCACAAGATCACATCACACCAGTCCTTATTCAGCTGCGTTGGCTGACAGCTGAAGTCTGGTCCCAAGTCAGTGATGGTTATAACATTTAATGCCCTAAACAGCTTGTGATCAGGTTATCTGAAGGAATGCCTTCACCTGTATGTCCCTACACGGTCTCCAAGATCATCCACTGAGGTTCTTCTCAGGAAGCCCCCTACCAAAAGAAGTAAGGGGGGCAGTGATCAGGAGAAGGATGTTTTCACTAGTGGCACTCTGTTTGTGGAACATACTTCACAGAGAGGTATGCTTGGCACCATCTATGTTTTGGGTGCCAAGTAAAAACTTAATTTTCCAACTCTTTTAATAGATAGGCACTAGTTTTAATGTTGCTTTTATGATTATTGCTGTTATGTCATGTGCTCATCCTGACTATAGTCACTGTAGGTTGTTGATGCTGTTATACTGGTATTATTTTATTGTGTTATTTAAATGTTATTGCTTGTCTATAGGTTTTGTAAAAAAAAAATTAAACCACTCAAAGCTCCTTCAGGTTATGGGGAAGTATAGAAGTGCAATAAATAAGATCCATGGAGTTTGAATATCTACAAGTTATTTGTTTGGATCAGGACTTAACATCAAGAATTTTAACACAGCGATTATAAGTTTCAATTCCACTGTGTTTAATAGCACATACGTCTTAGCAAACGGGTTTAGGCTGGAGCTTCAAAGTGAAATTCTCTTAGAATTAAGCTCCAATAAAGCTGGCAAGGCGTTTGAGTAAACATAAACACACCGGTTACGAGGACAGCCATGCAACGGCTTGACTTCTAGCTCTAGGAGCCATCACATACACACTCAGAATCACGCTGTATTTTGGAGTTTCTGCATGCTGAAACTCTCCCCATGTAGAGAAGAAAACCGGCTGCCTTACTTGGACATAAATAAGGATTTCCTCTAAATCAAATTAGATAGAAACCCTGCTTTGCGAGTGTGTGCGCCAGTCTATTCTGCCTCTGGTTTTAATTTGGTATTGCGATGATGTAATTGGTTTTATTCTTCGCTGTTTTTATTCTACCCCGTTTTTAGCTTTTGTTCGAACGATTGTTTTACTATGTTTATAATGTATTGTTCATCACTTACAGAAGGTTATTGGGTGGTTTAGAAGGACAGTAAGTAAATAAACATTTGTCTCGATTCAGTTGCTTCAAGCAACTTGCTGTAACCTTTGATCTTTTAAAATATCGTACCTCTTCATTTGCTGTGGGTTTGTTGCAGCTGTATAAACCGGCTGTCCCCCACCCAGAAGTTCACCGGATACCTTCTGGTTGTGTCCTCATCCCAGGACTACATCGTGGCCTAGGGTAATTTCTGGGTGGTCGGTGGGTTAGTCTTGACAGTCTTGCCCCCCCCCCATACTAGTGAATTGAGGGGACGCACTTTCCGAGTGCCTGCGTACCGTGGCCGCCTCTCCGCCGCGTGCTGTTTGTTTCACTCGCGGTGTGAAGGAGGGAGGCTGCCTGCCGTTGTAGCAGCAGCAGCCGTTGTTGCCGCCGCCAAGAGAGAAGCGCAATCCCGCGTGGGAGAGAAGGCTCTAGGACCCAGGGGGACGCGGGACGGCCGGGCACTCCAAGCCAGATTGCAAATTCTCCTCCGTGACTCAGTCGGCTCCGCGCAGCGCACAGTAGGCGGCGGGCAGTGGCGGCCGGAGCTGAGACTCGCAAGCAGCAGGTCCGTGTTCCTCGGCGAGAGCCAGGGTGCGGCGGCGGGGCCTCTGTGTGGGCGAACGGAGAGGGCCGGACTGAGCTGCCCTCCTGGCTGGGGCCTAGCGTCACCACTGCCGCCACCGCCTCTGCTTCTGCTGCTAACGGCGGCCGCCTCCGCCTGTTGTCTTTGCAGAGCGCCAAGATGGAGTACGAGTGGAAGCCCGACGAGCAGGGGCTTCAGCAGATCTTGCAGCTGCTGAAGGAGTCGCAGTCCCCGGACACCACGACGCAGAGAGCCGTGCAACAAGTATCCTCCCAACAGGGGAAAACGGCGGGGGCCTGCGGGTAGCTGGCTGGGAGGGAGGAAGGGCGGGGGAGCGAGGGCAAGGCCGGTTGGCCCGGCGCTGAACGGGGACATGGCCGGGCCCAGCGGCTGGGGCAGTTTGCTGCGCTGCCCCTGAGGCCCAGTGAGAGGGGTTGAGCGCAGCGTTTCACTCGCTTTGTCGTTCCGGAAAGGAGGGCTGGACTTGGGGCGGCGGCGGCGGGCCGCTTTTCTACATCGGCCGGGGTAGCGAGCCAGCAGAGGCCGCGGGGGCGTTTTAGGCCCAGCCTCCGCTCGGCCGTGGCGCGGGCTTTGAACCGCGAAAGGAGGCTGTGGGCGGCGGCGGCGGCGCCCCTCCCCCAGGCCAGCCCCGCACCTGTTGCGAGCCTGGCGCCGGGCCCCGCTTTTTCTTTTTAAAGGCTTGGCAGCTCCGGTGTCGGTCGCTTCCCCACACCCCCATGGGGCCTGTGTCACACTCCGGCTTGTAGCAGTGGCGGGCTCTACCATCTTCCTTTCAGTGGTTTTGTTAGGGCCCCTGGTGCGCCTCGCCGATTAATCTGTCTGTTGTGGCCGTGGATACTTGCCTGTTGGGCTACCTTCTTGCAGGTGTATTTGGAGGCGGGGGGGGGGGGGGCTGGTTAGGTAACGAGCTTTTTTGCTTTCTCCTTTTTTTGGTGGGGTAGGTAAAGGGATTATGTGTTTATTATTGTAGTCAAAAGGGGAAAGGTCACCTTCAGAAAAATAGACTTGAAATGTGCCAATTTATAGTTCTGCGTTTTCCTTTTGGTGCATTATGAAATAACCCAATCCCTTTTGTGGGCTCTCTAGAGAGCTGAGGAAAAGATTGTCTGTGTAGGAAATAATCACAAACTACAATAATACAAATGCCAGTCAAATCAAAGGTGCCTGTTGTTGGCATGCCATACTTAGATGTGTGTTAATATTACAATATAAGTGTTTGTGGATAAATCATTATACAGTTAAGAGCCAAAGTACTTGCTCTTGTTTTTCCCTAGAATACGGTTGTGGCTATGACCCCAAAGATTGAATATAGTCTTCTACTCTGCCATAGTTCCTCTCCCTTTCCATGTATGCCTTAGGTTAGTTTCAGAAATATGCAACTAATTTTGAACCTCCCTAATAGCGCCCCCCCCACCCCCGTGCTTTTAATGTTCCCAAGCACAACACAGGTGGTAGTTTTTCCTGGCAGCTTTAAATCAACATAGAGCTGGCTGCAGGCCTGTTCTTCTTTTACTTTTCACCTCAGCAAGTGGATTGGAAGCTCAATTACTACATTTCTGGTCAGGGGGTCATAACATCTTAGGAAAAGATGAGAGAGGAGTTTGAACTTTCCTCTTCCAACATCTAAATGTCTTTACTGAAATTTTTATGTCTTGAGAACCATTGGTGTAGTAATGAGAAAAGAAGCCATTCCCTGTATATCTACAGTCTTACATGGGTCCTTTAATCTAGTATTCATAATAAATATTACCTACATTACAAAAATTGCCTACCCCAAATGTATTCTGTGCTGATCCTTCTCCCTTTTATGTGGTACATTATCCTTAATTTAAAAACAAAACAAGACAAATCAAAAAACCAAACCCAACCTTCAAATATAAAGGTTAGGGAGAAGCATGTACTTTGCCAAAACACTGTAAGATGGCTGGAATATTTGATGCATCCTTCCTCCCTTTTGATCATTAATTGGGTTATAAGGAGGATGTATGTAGCAGCCCACTTTCAGAAGATTTTTTTCTCTTGTGTAAACAGCTGTATCTCCAAACTGCACTCGAACTGCCTTGCATCCATTCTGATTGCTGAGCTGCTCTCCATTCTGGCAATGAGTACCTCTCTGCTGATAGATGAAGGAGCTTCACCTTGCCTTCTGCAGCATACTTTATTGAAGTATGTGTGTGTGTGTCTTTATGTTATCTGCTCTGTTTTATTAGCCTTTAGACAGAGGCTCCTGATTTTGATAAAGTAGCATACAGCTTGCCCAGATTTTGTAATAAGGGAAATTAATTGGGTATGCTATCTTGCTAGAATGACAAATAACAAATGGTAATGCAGAGACTTATGGTATCTTCAGTATTTTGTTTCCAGAAGTGACAAAGTGCAGAAAACCCATTTTGAGTCCAGCCAGAATAGATTAGAATAGAATAGAATGCTGTATTAACACCATAGTGTTTTCTTTTGATTTCATGTATTCTGCATTCTTAGTATGGCATACCAAAATATGCATACATGCACTTGAATGCATATGAATAATATTTTAGTTACTTATAGCAAAATCTTACGTGCATCTGCCTAGGAATAAGATCCCCTGAATTTACTGGGACTTACTCCCATGCAATTGTGTAGGTTGAAGGTTTAGTACTTGTTTACAGGCATATTTTATTTCATACTGTGTATGCATAAAATGTCCCAATTCATCTGCTTCAGATTCAGACTGTACTCCTAGACTTTGACACAGCTCCAGTGACAGTGTGGCTCTGATAGTGCAACTTTTCATAGTAGCCTAAGTCTGAAATCCTATATATGCTTCCGGGAAAATCACATTGAACTTGGTGGTATATCTTTGTTAGTAGATGTGGGTAAGATCAGGCTGTCAGACAATTAGTATGTGAATGTTTTGAAGTTTTAACAGGTATACTTAGGACAGATGAAATCCTTGTCCTGAGTTCTTCAAACATGACATACCAGGTTTTGCAGCTGTAGACAGCTGTGAGAATCAATCTGTGAGCAATTTTCAATAATTACTTTAAAAGGCAGCAAAATCTAGACAAGACTTAAGTATTGAAGGTACCTGAACCCAGAAAAGAAACTGATTTACTACCATTTACTCTGAATCTGGATGGTCCCTGTCTATGCCACCCTTCATTGAGCAGCAGAGGAATGGACTGTATTGCATGTGCTTCCAGCACAGAAGTACTGAAAAGTGCATGACTGGCTTGTCAAAAAGATTCATGTATGCCTCCCACACAGTGGTGTACTATTTTTTCCAATTTTTCCAATCTTGGTTGTTGGAGACAGCTACTACTTACTATTGGAAACCAGTAGACTGGCTAATGACAGAACTGTATGAGATGTGCTGAACTACCTAGCTGTACAGTGTGTATTGTCTTAATTATCTTTGACCAGGTGTTAGATGTTCTAGACTTCCACCATTAATCTTCTAAAAATAGTTTTAGCCAGTTCTGTGTGCAGTGGAAATTTGCAGTTTTTCATTTCTTACATGAAATGGACTTTAACAAAATACTCTACTTTAGAAACTGGAACAACTCAATCAGTATCCAGACTTCAACAACTACTTGATCTTTGTTCTTACAAAGCTAAAATCTGAAGGTGAGTCAGTTCTGTATCATTTTACAACGTACTTGCAGAACTAGATCATATAGGCAGATGCTGTAAGTTTCTGGGTTTCTTGTAGATTGCATTAGTGTACTAGGGTAGATTACATGTGAATGTGTTACTTTGAAATAAAAGCAATTTGTTTGCATGTAAATCTGTTTTAGATAGGACGGTGAGTGTTGTGTAACATAATGGTAGATGGTTCCAAGAGTCTCCTTTAAGGAAAAAAGCCAGTATATTCATGTGAGTAAAACTCTAGCATATTCTGACATGACTGCAATAATATTATGGAGAGACAACATTTGTTCTATGGCAAGTGATATTTTTTTGAGTTGTGGTGTTTTTGTTCATAGTATATGTTTATGGAAATAAACTGATAGTAAACTTCATACATAAACTCCCTTATCTATGGAGAAACAATGCAGGTGATGTCTGCTTAACAGTATACAAAGGAATTCTGTGGTTTTCTTAGCTTCCATACAGTACAGTTTTCATTCTTCATGTGTGCAGTTCAGTACTACCAGTTGTTCAATATTTTATGCCCCTTTAGTAGTCTAGCTTACTATAATTTAACAATGACTTAGCATGGAATGTGTTAGGCTCCACTTTCTTAAAACAAAAAAAAAAATCTGACTTTGATGCATGGTTCCTTTTTGAGGACTTTTAAGACAAGGGTCCACAATAATGCATTTTCTGTGAAATCATGCAAGACCCCAGTAATTCAGGTGACAGTGGAATATGGTGTGTGTATGAGCAGTATACCTATTGTTTGGGTTTTGTCTGTCTTTATAACTTTAATAGTGCAATTCTGCATGTTTATTCAGAAGTAAGTGTAACTGAGTTCAGTGGCGGCTTCACTCCCAGGTAAGCAAGTGTAACCTGAGTCTGGTTGTCCATACTGTGGATATTTCATAACAAAATTTTGTATTTTAAAACCCTCAAGATTGTGTATGATTGAATCAGCTGTGGGTTATATTCTAAGGCCAGAATATCAGAGTCTAGCCTAATGGGGAATTATCTAACAGGGAACAGGAGGTAGACATGTCTGTCAACTCTTTGAAATACAGTCAAAAGAGTTCTTTATTGGGATTTGTTTGAACAACTTTTAGAGAAAGAAATTTGTACTAAAAGTTTTAGTAAAAAATAAAATTAATTATGTATGGTTTATAATTCATAGTTGAATATTAATGCAAAGCAGCTGTTTTCTTACGGAAAGAGATTTGCTCTTAAATTTGCTCTTTCAATTGGTTTCAGTGTAGTAAATCAATAAATACATCCAATTGGCCTCAAGCATTTTTGAGTCAATGGCAGAAAAAGTTCTGTGGCAGTTCTGTAAAATATGAATGACTTACATTCACATAACAAGATTATTGGGATGGCCTTTGCCTTGGTGTAAAAGCTATGGGAATTTGAGGCAACTCTGGTAAAGATCCCAGGATCTCATTCTGAACAAATGACTTGCTACTTATTCTAAAGATACTTGTGTCTGAAGAGACTCTGGATTGTGGGACATTGCTCTCAAGATGTTACTGGTACTATTGCCTCAGAGTACAAACTTAAGGTATATTAAGACATCTGTTGTTTAAGGCGTACAAAGACATTTGTTATATTCTATAACGAATTGTGTTCCAAGGCAAGAGATTATTTGACATACATACCTGACTTGGAATATTGTTTGGGAGCAATTGAATGCCAGCACACTTGCTCACTCCCACATGTAAATCAGGTCATAGTGTAAGATCAGGATGTAAGTGCAAATTGGGCCTTGACACAGAATCATTATCACAGTTTAAAATCTTTACTTCTGTGTAATGGCTACCTTTATATAAAGTTATTGAACTTTTTAATGTGCACCTACATTTTACCATGTTTGTCATATAATTCTTTATATGAAAGTTTTTGTAGTGTTTTACCATTTATTATTTTACTAAAATATTATATATATGCTTAGCATTTCCACTTATTTATAAGTAAGACTTGTTGAGATCAATGTGACTTGCTCTCTGATAAGTGAGCATAGGATTACAAAGTAATGTTCTAAAGTATTCTTATTACAGATGAACCAACACGGTCACTGAGTGGACTCATTTTGAAGAATAATGTAAAAGCTCATTTCCACAATTTCCCTAATGGAGTAACTGACTTCATTAAAAGCGAGTGTTTAAATAATATTGGTGACTCCTCTCCGCTAATCAGAGCCACTGTAGGTGAGTTGTGGATTTAAAGTCCTGATTTTGGTGACTTGTGTTGAATCACTAGCAAATTTTTGAGCATGCTTTTCTAAAGGGTTTCTTAAACCCTTAGAGAAAAAAACAACTCAGTGACTGAGAAGTTCAAATACTTCAATATATATTGTAATGCATATTGGGTTACTCTGGTATATATTATGGCAACTGATACATTCAGACATAAATTTAGTAATGTATTCCAAGCCCTCTGTTCATACTGTCACAGAAAATAGCATGGCTGATACTTTATCCCTTTCAGTGTTTCATTTTGACCAATGCTTCTTCTGAAGATTTATAGTTTTCCTCACTCAGTGGATGAATAGAACAGACAGCAAACTCAGGGCCAGAACTAAAACAACCTTTTATATCTTTCTTGGAGAGGAGAGAACCTGCCAAAGCAGAGCATGACTGTACTGCTGCTTCTGAGCTTTGCTTGGGAGTTGGCCTACCAGAACAAAATTTCTTCTTTTCTTCCCATGATCATCTCTGTAGTCAGGGACAACAGGGGCTGCTAGGCTTAACATTTCTGAGCCTCCTCATCTCACTCGCCATGTGCCACACTCCTGTTTACCACTTCTTTGGCAAAAACTTTCAACTTCATGACTAAACATTAAATTTGGTTGTAAAGTTCAGCTGATTATAATATATGCTCATATTTCTTTTGACAAAGACACATTTTACAAATGGAAGTTTTTTTGCTGCATCTACAAACTACATTATTAAAGAAGGATTACATGAATCAGTGTTCTACAAATAGACAGTTTAAGGGAAGCTACTTATACTAGTAGGTTGATCTGTTGATCATTACTTTGATGCAGCCATCCAGCATGTAGGCCTCTTCTGTTTAATTAGAAGTAAGTCTCTCACTCCCAAATAATTGTAACCTAGAACTAATGCTGCTATCCCGTTTACAAGATTGGAAATTGGTCTCAAACACAAGAAAAGTAATTTGTGTCCTGGTATTTGTTCTTTTTGTTACCCAGTGATAACCCTTTAGGTTGTATTAACATATGAAGATGAAGTGGATGTATAATTTTATGGTATCACTAATTTTTTTTTGTTCTTAAAAGTTTTCTGTCCAAAATTGTGAGCTTGTTCTGGTGTTTTGAAGGAATTATAGAGACCTTTCAGTTAGCAGTGGATTGATAATTGTTCCAAGGATGAATAGCTTAGCAGAAAAATAGCTACAATATCTGAACCTAGGAAATGGTTTATTACACTATTGATTCAAAAGCCAGCTTTAATTTGGCCAATTTTAAGGTTGGTTTTATTTCTAATGCAAAATTCTTGTTCTTTCCCATCCCTGTGTAGTGATACAACTTGGTAATTACCTGGGTGATCTTGAGAGTTTTTTTTTAATGGGTGCCAAACTAAATTCATCAGTAACTTTGCCCTGTAGCTAGACCAGGGGAAGAGTACCCTTTGGCCTTCCAGATACTGTTAGATTCATTAACTCCTACTAGTGTAGTAAGTGATCAGGCTTATTGAGAAGAAGAGTTCAAGAACATCTTGAGGACCACTGGGACCCCAAAAATATCTGGATGGCTGTAGATTGCTCACCCATGCATTAAAGAACAGAAAAGATGCAGAGGTAGCTGTTTCCAATCCCACCAGATATACTTGTTCTTCCTCATAGTGCTGTTCTGAGTGCCTTTGCCATCTACTTGTACAGTATTAAAGGTGGTGGTGCCTTGGAAAGTGGCTTTCATCATTCATTTGTTCTTCCTTTAGAAGAATACTGAAATTGAAGTAATTACGTGGCAAATTAACGTTTTCAGCTTCCCTTTTTATATATGTTTTCTATATAAAACATAGAATCTGTGTAATATCCACACACCTAGCTTTTTCCCCTTTCTATTGTTTAATTTATTCGGTATGCTTGTACAACAGAAAAACATATTGGAGCAACTCAGGTTTGGTAACTTTATTACTTTTTTAAAAATTCTTTCCAACAATTCAAGGTATCCTGATTACAACCATTGCCTCAAAAGGAGAATTGCAGAATTGGCCCGAACTATTACCAAAGCTTTGTAGCCTGCTGGATTCTGAGGACTACAATACTTGTGAGGTGAGGGGTTCTTAAAATTCATTTAGAAATGTCTCTATATTTGGTAGCAGGTAACTGAGTTAAACTACATTAACGCTTCTTTTTAAATTATTTTCTATACTTCTCTAGTTCAACATACAGTAGTGTGTTTTTTTTTAAGCAATTCTACTTGTGATCTTCCAAAAAGCGATTTAGGGTGCAGTCTTATGAGGATATTCATAATCCTCTGAACTGATAGGGCTAGACACATCCAATGTAGGGTAGGAAACATGCAGATGCAAAGATCTCCTCCATGCTTTTTCAGCTTTGCTAAGCAAGTGGATGACCAATTTTGGCGGTCTAGGTGTGGCACATTGGACAGCGAGGGAATGATACTGAGATGCTTCTAGGTTATTTTATATCTTGTTTGTGCTGGTATTTTTTTCCCTGCCCCCTGGATTGCCCACTAAAGCTTTCCCTGAGTTTGCTTTTCATTTATTTAATTTTTTTCCATGCCATCCATTACTAAAAAAAGTCTCTGGATGGCTTACAAAATGAGTGACCTTGGAGAAGCAGCAACCAGGTCTTTTCATGCTGACAGTGAATGGAGGATGGCTCTCCCAAGTATGGAGTCCCAGCTTCAACATCAGGACAGGGACTTTTAAAAACATCATATTGTCCTCTAGACACTGTCTAGTTTGCAGAGAATTGCTCTCTTAATCCATTAAACCCATCAGTATTGATCTGTTGCCCATAAGAGGGTGGCACAATTCCCAGGGGAATCAGGGTGAAGTGTTGGAGTCATTATTACTTAATAGGCACTCTAGGATATAACTATCCAAATGCACATACTTATATCAGTGTAAACAGAATTCCTTTGATGTAACATCTTGTGCGTCAGTAACCTGGAAGAGAGCAGAATAAGCAAGAGAGTATTTGTAAATGTTCAGGTTTGTGGTCATTTCATTAAAATATATTTTTCTAGGAAATCTCTAGAAACTTTAGGCAAGGTCCTTGGGCAGCAAATGTCACAGATTGCTTTATTTTGATATTTAAAGTTAAATGTAAGTTAAATTGGTGACAATAATTTTAACATACTGAATGTTTAAAGAAAATTCTTGTGCATAATTTGTTCTTCAGTCACTCATTTAAAAAGCATTAATTTTTCACTGCAGTAGTGAAACTCCTAATTGCAGCATTTGATAGCCTCAGCTTGACAAGCAGTAAAGAACATCAAATTTATGTAGTGTTTTAGATTAAAAAAGAACTAAAAACATTAATTGATTCAAAAAGTGATTCTTTTACATGGCTCTTCCCATATAACCAATGAAAGCACTATAGTGAATAACATAATCCCTGCCCAACCCAGTGGTGGTAGGATAGTCTCTAAATTGGGATTATTTCCATTAGTGCAAGAGGGAGCAAACCACAGGCCATGTACAGCCCATGGAGGCCTTCTGTGGAGCCTGCCTTATGTGCCTTGTTCCCCAGATCCCCTCTTGTTCTATTCTGTATACTGACACAATTGTGCTATGGAAGACAGCATGTGGGGAAGATGTCTTATTGCCCCAACAGAATTGGGTTCCAGTTCTGGTCATGTTTTTCCTGCAAAGTTGATCTGGTAGGTATTGAAGAGCAATCACCATAATATTAGTTTTAATTTCATGGCAAGAGAAACGAAACACATAGACATGGACAACTTTCTGTTGTTTTTCATATATGGCATATTCCTTCTCTGATGATCTGTATGTCAAACTTAGTCATGTAATCTCAGGGTGCAAGTGAAATAGCTGCCTAGAGAATATATTGCATGATACATTCATGTTCAGAGGCATCAGTTTGGCTCTTTCCCAAATAATGGTGTGTCCAAAAAGGAGCCCAAAGGCATTGATTAGTTTAATTAGCTCTGGAATGGCAACAAATGGCTATTTGTCAGCAAATAGCATCCTATGATTTGCCTAAACTATGGTTTTAGTCTGTACAATGTCCCCATGAATCAGTCCATGAATGCCATTGTTCAACTGAATAGGACATGCAAGCGGTTCCTGACAAAAAGTCACATATCAGTGGAAAGTGGGTACCTTTGTCAGCTACCTTGCTATAAATTAAAGAGGAAGGAATAATGTTTTCTTGAGAAACACAGCATTATGACAAGAGTGTTGTGAAATTTATTTGCATCCATTTGGGGTAATCAAGGACCCTCCCCATATAAGATACTATTTCTCTGGACAGACAAGATAATTTTAAATGCTAAGTTTCGTGATTGTCAGGCATACCCAAACAGAGCTCTCCCTTCCACACAATTGAATATTTTCACATTGTTTTAGGAGTTGGCATGCTTCCATGTGAGATCTCTGCAGAGTTCTCTTCCAGTGTGATGTAGCAAAAAGAAGGCTTGAGCTCCCGACTTTTCTTAATGTTGTCAAGGAGAATCTTAATGCTTTCCCCAGGAAACTTTGTTGGATCCCCATTGTCTTCTGACTATGACCAGTGTCTGTCTATTCAATTGGAGCTACTGGAGTCTGAAAAATATCGTATTTGTCTTACTACAGTTTCAGAACCAAACCATAGACCAAGTTATGTTAAAATGCATGAGTAATATTACATTGAAACCTATTTAATAAAATACATCATGATTTAAATCACTAGTTAGTAAGACTAGATGTAAATCACGGTTTTCTACATAATTTGCATGCATGCCTTCCTTACCCTTAGGTAGAGGAACTTCATTAAAATATTTCCAAACTGGATCTCTTTTACAGCCATTGCCATTGTAGGTTTTCTTCAGGGAAAGAATAGCACGATAAACCTTAGGCTAAAAGATACAAATACTTGTGGGGTATTCTGTCCAAAAGGTTTCACTTTCATTTTTACTGCTTGCTTCTCCCACCTCACACTTAGCTTCTTGGGCAAACCTGTTCCTTCCCAAGAATCATCTTCTATTCATTTAATTTTTTGAAACTTAGCGCTTAAGAGGAAAGGGTTGATTCTGTGTACAGATTTGGAAAGGAACAATGGGATTAAGATATTTTTCTCAACTTTCTAGATTTGTGATTTCTGCAAACACAAATTCACGGTTTTGAGAACTGTAAAGCCAAGCATCTGTGATAATATCTTCTAGACCAAAAAAATTCCCAATAATCTTACAGAAATGTCTGTCAAAGCATGATATTGTGAATGGATTAATATAATCCATTTACCAACAAATGTAAACATTGCATTAATATACAGCTTCATGCTACATATTAAAATCTAATCCTTATTTCATGATGAATAACCTTTGGACTATAATGTATCTTAAATAGACAACTATCTTTAAATAGATTTTTCCTCAAAAAGCATTTTATTTTAAAAATCCATTTTTAATTTAAAACTAATTGATTTTTATGCATTCTGCTATTTAACCAGGCTAGGGACCCTTTCTCAAGAGGCAAGCAATTAGACTGAAAGGATCAGGCAAGCAAAATCCCGACACGAGCAAAGTCCAGTTTCTTCTAAGTTAGGATGGGGATAATCATCATCAGATTGTATTGGCACAGTCAGCAGACTCTGATTCAGGGATAGTAGGCTGTATGCCTTCAGTTCCTTAGATGCTTATAAAAGGCTTCATGTGTCTCCTTTCTGGAAGACTTTCCAATTAGAGCCTAGGATTCCACCATATCTGTATCTTGATCTGCTGCATGGGAGGAGCAGAAGCAGTTGTCCTAACAGGATTGTGGTTAAAGGGGACGTTTTGGGATGTCTCAGACAATGCAAAACTGATCACTTTTTGCTCAGATTTATACTAGGGAAAGCCACTAACCTCAATGTGGTTTTGAACTGAGTAGGATGATTGCCAATGCCTTTAGAGGACTTTGTAGCTTATATGGTCAGTGATCCTGTCAGTATCTTGGTTAACCGTTGGATCATAGAGACATTGGGACTGTTAATACGTAACATATAGCACCTATTGGCACACTCCTGTTTTGTATAACTAAAACCCACTCCTTTTATTTAAAGAAGCTGGTGGTGATGAAATAAGCAGGATATTGGCTAGAATGTCAGATGATTTGGTGCAAGTCCTGCCAGGCACAAATTTTAGCTCAATCTAGGGTTAATTTGGGACAAAGATATTTTGCCTTACCACCTTTGTATCAGTCTAGTGCTGTCCAGCTGGACTTTTCTGAATGAGGTAAGACCTGTTGCATCCTGGTTTAAAAAAAAGATGACCTAGACTCTTGTATATCCACAGTGACCCAAAACTTTATAGATTAAAGTCAATCATTTTTCACTCAAACTCCACCTAGTTGGTTTTTCATGAACATTAGCTTTGCAACTGAGGATGTGGACAGGATTCTAAGATTGATCCAACCTACGATATGTACTCTGAATCTTAACTAGTGAAAACTGCCAGACATTGATTGCAGAATTTGATAACTACCTCAATAAAGGAGGATGAGATCCTGGCAGATTTTTAAGAGATGGTGATGAACTTGCTTTTTTGGCAGTGTGGAGCGAACCTCAGGCCTAACTGAAGAACTATATCCCAGTCTCAAAAATTTTTTTCTGTTGGGTGCAAGGTATTTTTGAGCAACTGGTGGCAGGCTAACTCCCATTTTTCTTGAACGAATCTGGAAAAAGGTGAGAAAAATCTATCTAGTTTCTTCCTTGGTTTTAGCACCTGCTCACCCTGACAGATGACTTGCATTAGGAGATGGATACAGGAGTGGCTTTCAATGCTATTGATTTCCTTCTGGACAGTCTTATCTGTGTTAGGATTAGGGGGCGCTGTGGTTCTGCAGTTATTAGCATCCTTTCTGGAAGGATGGTATCTGTCAGTGATTTGGATGAGGGTGGTATAGTTTAATACACTAAATAAAATCTTTGCATGGCTCTTTCAAAAACTGTTTTGATATGGAGAGAGACTGGTTTTGCATGGCAGGTAACCCCCCCATGACTTATAAGCACCATGTCATATAAGTGGTAAGTAAGATGTCAGAAGCTAGAACACTTCCGAGGATGTGTTATAAGACATCCTGGGGTGAAGTATAAATCACTACAGTTGATCATGGTTTGGTCTAGTAGTTAATTAGCTTACAGTCAATTAACCCTGTTAGGGACATGGGTAGGCAGCACACAGCAGAATAGCAAGCCATTTGGGCTCGCTTCCTCACAAGGAAGGGAGTCCAAGTGGCTGGATCTTGCTTGCAGCTGCCACTGCTTCTTTACAAGAAGGAGGTGTATGGGACAGATGGTGCTAGTTCCTACCCTGTGCCACATTCTCAAGCCCTGGTTGGAAGCAGGGAAGAGGTGCACAACTGGCACTTCCCCTACTCTAGGTGGTGTGGGGCTATGAATGCTGTGTATCTGAGGGCAGAGAGCTGGGGGACTGCATGGCCAGGTAGTCACAGTTGGCCTAGCCTCGTCTCAAAGAGATACAGCTGAACATGGCCCTGGCCTTTGTCCACTTTTCAGCTGTAGTTAGAAAATGGAACGCAAGGCCTCCATGCTGCCCAACTGTGGTGTGCCATAGCTGGACAGTGGGTTGTCTTGTGAACTTGGCACAGAGGTCCTTCTCAGGTTCCCCAAACTGTTTCTGCCAATGCTAGCAGAATGCAGGGTGGGGAAGCAGATTACAGTGGCTGAAAGTGCCAGGTTTGGCTGCTGTCATTGTGCTATCCTCAGTGGTCCTTCAGTGTTCCCCGTGCAACTGCAGGAATACTAAAAGAAAAGGAGGGAGGTAATATTCCACGAAGGGTTAGTGTTTTGTGTGAACTTATGCAGAGATGTTTTTTGTCTTTTTTTAATGTCTCTCTGTGTTCAAGTTCTGCATGAGACCCTTGAGATGTCAGGGTCATTTAGGTTAAGACCAAGCGACTTCCCAAGCCTTCTTGGTCTGAAAGCATTTGAAGAGATACCAACTGGACATAGTCATACAGTTTCACGAAACTGTATTGTTAAATATTCTTCTGTGGAAGGGATAATCAGTAAAACAGTTTTGCATATTACTGAAACCTGGTATTTTTTCCCCCGGGTTGTTACCCTGCACAGTCCTGTCAGTTGATCAATCAGTCTACCTTATCTGTGTTACAGACCACTTTGCTGCCACTAGAGGGAGATAAGAAGATGTTGCTACTTGCCAATAAGTTTGTTTTCTTGCCTATGGAAATAAGGCTGTCCAAGTATGACGTGTCCAGGTTATGATGTTACTTAAGGATCATGGAACAGTTGTGCTGTTCTATCCTAGATATGTAATATTTAAAATGTCAAACTTAGTTTCTTGGTTGCCTTTATCCAGTTTCTTTTGTGTTTTAGCTAGAATTGAGAAATATTTTGTTGCTTCTGTTTTATAGCAGAGTTTGATCAAACTTCTTCTGGATAATTGCTTATTTGCTGTTTGGCAATACTTCAGTTGACTGACTACTTCCTTCTGCTAGGAAGGACAGGGTTTCCCCCCTGCTTGTTGACATCAGGTGCCTCAGTTCTTGAGGAAGCAGTTTCTGTTCAGAGGAAAGTCTTGGCATGGACTAGACTAGGAGAAACCTCCCAGGTCATCCTTAAAACACAGTTTCCTATTCTGGTCTGCCTTAATCCCACAAGTGGTATTTTCCTTGCTTGTGTTTTATTCTAGAGAGTGCTATCAGGTGTGTTTGGAATACCTTAATTCAGTGCAGAGTGTAAGATTTTGCAAAATAGCAATGTATCTGATCTACAGAACTTTCTGAAAAATACCAAAACACGTATTTACTCGACAGGGTGCATTTGGAGCTCTTCAGAAGATATGTGAAGATTCTGCTGAAATCTTAGATAGTGATGCATTAGATCGACCTCTCAATATCATGATCCCTAAGTTTTTACAGTTCTTCAAGCACAGCAGTCCAAAAATAAGGTAAGAATTGGCCTCCTCATCCACCCACCCATTTCAGATACTCATGTCAGCTAGATTTTGCATGGAGGCATTTTATATATTGGTATGGCCAAACCAAAGCTTGTGAGTCGCATGTGGCTCTTGGAGCTTATTTTGTGGCTTGAAGAGGGCCAGGAGCCCCCCCCCCCACATTCCAGATCCCAGTGATAGCACGGGCATGCTGATGCAAGCTCCCCCAGGACCACCAACAAGTCCTGCTCTCTTCCTAAGGCTCAGCAAGGGAAGGGTCAGGCTGTAGCCTCATGAGAGCTCGCCCCAGCATGCTTTGTGCCATTCACTAATCCAAACTCAGAGTGTTTTGAAAAGTCACATCTAGCTCTCCCAGTGGGGGCTTGTGTGCCTGAGAGAGAGTGCAAGCCTGCCTTCTACTGCACACCCTGCACCAGGTGCAGGGAAGCCTCCCTGGGAATTACTGAACCCCAGGCATGCAGAGCTTATGGCAAAGGGTATGGTACAGGTCCTGCCTCAGGGCTTTGCATCCCAGGAGAGAGAAGCCTCCCCTTCTAATGTCTGAAACACCAATGTGCTGCTTGCACTCCGTTGGCTGAAAGTGCTCCCTTGAAACAGTGCTCCAAAGGCCAGCTTCCCAAGGTGAGGCAAGGGGTGGGATGCTTCTGTAGCCACTGGGCCCTGGGCTTGCAGCTCAGCTCCAGGTTTGAGCTGCTGCATGTTGGTGCTGACCACCTCTGGCACTGGCTTCCACATGCAGTGCAGTAACTCTGTGGCCCTCACCTGGCCCAATGCTGCAGTGGCAGCTATGTGACTCCTCTCCAACATTGTAGTGGCAGTCGCACTGTGTTCCCACTGCTTCTGGCAGTGGAGCTGTGAAACCTGATGATGGGTTTCCTTATGGGCCAGCCCTGCTGCTTTGAGGCAAAGCTTTGTCATCACGGCAGCGAAGGAGAAATGGGCTCTGAGTGCCCCCCCACTGCAGCCCCAGCCTGCACTTTTGCCAGTGGTTGGAGGCACACAGAAGGAAACCCCATGGATTTCCAGTTGGCTTTCTTTATTTACTTTCTGCCTCACCATTTTTCCTCTTGCAAGAAACACCCAGCCATATATATCATTTTCCTCACAACAACCTGGTGAGGTAGGCTAGGCTGCAAGTGAGTGACTAGCCAGAAGTTACCTGCTGAGCTTCCTAGCTAAAAGGAGAGTTAAGCCCAGGTCTCCCAAGTCCTAGTCAAGCACTCTAACCATTACACCACACTGGCTTATATGTACACAAAAGCTATTGGTACTCTTTTTTTTTTTTTTTAACCAAAAACGGGCATTGGCGGCAACTTGCAGAATCAGTTAAATCTGTTTAAAACAATCCATTAAAGCACAAGGAAAGCATCGTCTCAGTTAACATGGCAGCCAATATACCAGACTCCTTTACAGGCCAGAAGCCTTGTTAAATAAAATGGTCTTTATCGGCAGATGAACAGCACTGACAATGCAACACTCCTTTCTGGGAAGGGAATTCCACAGTCTGGGGGCCACCATGGAGAAGCGTCTTCTCTGGTGGCCACCCAAGGCTGCTCTGGAGGTGGTTTGTCTCAGTGCCTCACCAGAGGGCAATACTGGTATTTAGAGGCTAGCATGTCCCTGAATGGGGAGTTTCCTTTTTTTTATTTTTATTTTTTATTTTTTGATTTATATCCTGCCTTTTTCCTACAAGGGCTCAAGGCAGCTTACATCTCCTCCTCCATCTTATCCCCACAACAACAACCCTGTGAGGTAGGCTGGGCTGAGAGTCTGTGACTGGCCCAAGGTCACCCGGTTGGCTCCATGGCTGAGTGGGGACTAGAACCCAGGTCGTCCCGAGTCCCAGTCCCATGCTCTTAACCACTACACCACAACAATAGTATTTTAGGGCGCAATCTTAGACAAGTTTAGACTGAAAAAATGCCAGGAGTTGTAGACCTTTATTCTACCTACATTTGCATAGGATTGCATCATCACAGAATGTCATACCAGAGCTTTTGAAACAATCTAGCTGTTTTCCGTTAACTTTTCACTATCTGCTCTGATCTTCTTTGTGTATTTACATACCCTGAAATACCTTTTTTAAGAATTGCATATACCAGAGGTGGCCAAACTAAGGCTCAGGAGCCACATGCAGCTCTTTGAGTTTATTTTGCAACTTACTGCCACCTTCTACGGGCACCTGCTTGCTGCTTGCCACCTACCACCACCTGTGGGCACCTGCTTGTGACTTCAAACATCTGACATTTACCATATGTGGCACTTCCATTGAGCAAGTCTGGCCACCCCTGTTATATACAGTTAATTAATGTGAACCCAATATATTCTGTCTAAGCTGATTATTTGCCAGTTTGGAACCTTTAAGAATCATCCTTTACTCTTATGAAAATTACTTGCTTTTGCTTTAATATTAAGCACACTATGTGAAAACCCCCTTCAATTCGCTGCAGTGTTGTGTCATCAGAAAACACATTCATCTAGTATGGTAGGCAGGGAGCTTTTGCAAATTGAAAAAGTCTGTTCCGTTTGCCCAGGGCAGTTGATATGTCACACATGATTACATATGGAAAGGCAGTCTAGTTACTCTTGTGGATTTACAAGGTGAATTGTCCTTTCTGGATATTATCAGTTGACCAGCACAATCTTTTGATGGTATTTTGCTGGAATGTGATGGTTTTCCTAGATCTTGGTGTGCCATACTGCTCAATGGAGCACACCCAAATATCAGAATGGGAGATGTCTTTGGGAAGAAGATGGACTTCAATGCTGAACTTAGAAAATAAATACTTGGTATTGCACATGGACCTCTTTAGATCCCATCCACACTTGCTGTTAAGGTTTAGTAACTATAACATCAAACCATGGGGCTGCTCTCTTAAAATCTGAATGACAGTTTGGAAAGTACAGCTGACCTGAAAGTTCCAGTAATTTTTTTGAGTCTTTTCCCAGGTATAAAAATAGGTGGTATACAGAAATCAGTTTCTTTTACAAGTAAGATTGTAATGTGGTGTTATTCTAAAAAGTATATTTAGAGATACATGCTTACAAGTGGCCAGTCCCAAATACCCTATTCATGAATCAGGTGCTTGAGGGAGTGGTAGCATCTCAGCTGCATGCACTCATGAAAGGAATTGATTAGATCTGTTCCTGTCTAAATGCAGGCCCAGTTTTGGAATGGAATTGACCTTGGTCGCCCTGATGGTTGCTCCCCTTTCGGAGGGGGGATGGGGAGTACAACCTGTTATTTCTCAGCAGCTTTTGACACCATTGGCAATGCTATCTTTCTGGACCGCCTCCCTGAGTTGGATCTTGGAGGCACTGTGTCAAAAGATTTTGACTCTTACTTGCAGTCTCATTTCCAGAGAATAGCATTGGCTGACTGCACCTCAGCTGAGCTGGGGGTGACTACCAGGTACCTTTTTGTTCCCAATGTAATTTAATATCTATATGTAGCCATTGAGCATGGTCATCAGATTTGGGGCATGGTATCTGCAGTACACTGATGATATATCCAATTTCTCTATGAGACCTGAGCCAGTAGAGACTGTGCTTGTTCTCAGCCAGTGCCTGGAGGCAGTTAGGGCTTCAGTGATGGCTAATAAATGAAAGCTGAACCCCAATAGAACAGAGACCCTATAAAGTTGGCAGTGTCCAGGTTTGAGGAGCTGAGCTGTTTGCTTGTTCCTAATTGGCTTCCTCTCTGATGTAGCAAGTTTGTGGCTGCTGCTGTTTCTGTTATTTGGAGTTCAGGTGACCTTGATGACATGAAGAGCCCATTACTTAGTCACAGCGTTTCATGTTCATGGTTAAGACTATTGTAATATACTCTTATGAGGCCCTGGCCACGGATCCAGATCAGAATCTCCAGCTTGTGTATAATGCAGCAGTTAGGATAGTCAGCAGAGCCACCTAACTGAGCCACCTAACTATACACATATTACATCTGTATCAAAAGAACTACACTAGCTGTTTGTTAGCTGCCAAACCCTGTTTAAGTTATGATTTTGTCACACAAAGCCATAAATGACGTGGGATTAAGATATCCACGAGACTGCCTTTCCTTATATCCAGCCAACTTGGAGATCATCAAGGGAGACTTTGATGCTGCCCTAAAATACCTTGATGGCGGCCTTCTTAGTAGCAGTACCTACCCTTCCAAAAACACTCCGTCATGTAGATCGACAGGCAGAAAATGTGCCATCTTTCAAATCTCTTGAAAGCATACTTGTATACCAAGGCAGTTGTTTTAAAATTATATTTTAAATGTTATTTTAATATAAGAAACCACTTAACAAATTACTATATTTAATAGAATATAAATACTACAAATAAGTCAATTTTTTGTTTTCCTCTGATTTGATTTTATTCCAGTATTTGAACCAATAATTTTTATCATTTGTAGGTCGCATGCAGTTGCTTGTGTCAATCAGTTTATCATCAGTAGAACTCAAGCTCTTATGTTGCACATTGATGCATTTATTGAGGTAAGTGATTCTCTTTTTAATTTTTTAAATGTCATTCTGTGTTTAGCTCTTCGTTAAAATTAAAAGAACTCTTACAAATAAGTCTAACTATTTGCTTTTTTAAGACTATGGCTTTAAAATCGCTGATGAAACTTATTACATTTATTATGAAAAGTGATGACAAACTTGTAATTCTCCATTGTTCAGCAATCAAGATAAGCATGGAAGTGGTACAGTGGAATCCTGTATGTATTTATTTAGTAGGAAGTTCCATTAAAAGGGTTAATGAGTTAAAAGGGTTTTACTCTTAATTAAGTGGCTTTGGCATTGCACCCTAAGTCGTCCAATAGGCATAGTGCTCCAGAGAACAGCTGTGTTTTATGCACATGATAGTGAGAAGATGCTGCCCTCAGATCTACTTTAACATACCTAAAAAGAAACAGTGAACTTCCTTCTTTCCTTCCTTCCTTCCTTCCTGCTGCAATCATCTTTGCACTGCCCTCCACTTGGTTGGAAAGCTTTTATTGCTCAAATTAGTGTCAACTATGCTATGGTGGACCCCAAAAATGAAGACAAATCTTGAATAAGGAAGCATGAGTAGTAAATATTAGGCCATTGCTTGACTTCAAGCATCATCAGTCAACAGCCACGTTACATTAATTGGGAAGGCAAAGTACAGTGATAGTTACCTCTTTGGCTGAGGCAACAACATGGAAGGGGGTAGATATCTCTTATAGCAACTGTTTATGTACAGGTCTTCAGGAAATGGGTCTTGGATATTCTAGTAGTTGCTGCTTTCAAGCAGATAAGTCATATTGGCCAGTGTATCTTAGCTTTCACTGTTCTGGTGCCCTGCTTCTAGATAGGTTTTGTTGGTGCAAGAGAATACCAGAGTTCCTTGTAAGAGGTTGTTTTCAGCATGATGCCTTGTTATGCGGGGAGAGAGCAAGTTGTTGGTGTCAGGTGTACAATTAAGCGGTTTGCTTTTCCATATCTTGCCAAATTACTGACTTTACTGAGATGCGGTTAAAATGTTGATGTCAGTAAGAATTGAATCCTAATCTAAATATGTGTCTTGGCAATTTTTATGGTTTAGTTTACACAAAAATGTGCAAAGTATTTTATACAAAAACTACATTAAACACCTGACTAAAAATGTACAGTTGCTGATAAAGACCTATAAACAAAGCAAGTGTTATAAGAGCCCAGAAAAACTCAGTATAATAATTGTATGGCATTTTGGTTATAGAACTGTTGCTAGCTGGAAAAAACACTCTACTAGCATCAGTTACTCTGGGTTCAAAGTTCCATCTAGTCCAGCAAACATGTGCATCTTTAGGTTGACAGACAGTGATCCCCATAATTTTAAACTTTGTCTCTCTAACCTCATTAAATTATCTCCTACTGAATTAAAATTGACAGTAAATCAACATTCTTACATCTATTTGGGGTATGAGGCGAGACTGAGGAAACTGAGTCTCTTCAGCTTGGAGAAGAGGAGACTCAGAGGGGATATGTTGGTGACATACAGGTATGTGAGGGGATGTCACATGGAGATGGGTAGAGACCTGTTCTTCCCTGCAGAGAAAGGCAGGACGCGCTCCAACAGAGCCAAGCTCAGGGAACCAAGGCTCCATTTAGATGCCAGGAAGCACTTCCCGACAGTTAGGACCCTGAGGATGTGGAATGGGCTTCCATGAGAGGTTGTTGAGGCTCCATCGGTGAGGGTGTTCAAAGATAGGCTGGACATGCACATGGTGGGCATGTCGTGAGTGAAGCTGGCTGGGCTGGAGGTCAGACTAGATGGCCCGGGAGGTCCCTTCTGACGTGCTCTGTTTCTATGTTTCTATTTCCTTCCAAATAATGTTGTCTATTGAAATAGCAATATAAGCCTTAAGGTAATGTAAGTATTTATATGTTTAATCTGGTCGATGTTGAAAATAATAGTTTTTTTACTTCATGAGCAATATCTGTTCCCTTTATCAGAATCTATTTGCATTGGCTGGTGATGAGGAGCCTGAAGTGCGCAAAAATGTGTGTCGGGCATTGGTGATGCTATTGGAAGTTCGAATGGACCGCTTACTTCCTCATATGATTAGTATTGTTGAGGTAACTTAAATGTTTTGTTTAAATGCAAAGGAAGATAGGAAGTTTTTTAATGTGTGGGAGTGGAGGAATGGGCAAACTACAGAGTCTCTCTTTCTCTCTCTCCCCCCCCCCCACAATCACTTAAACAAAATTAGGAAAAGAATTTGCTGTTGGCATTAGGTTTTCAGAAGGTGTGATTATGCTATTTAAAACATGGCTGGCTCCTTATTGCAAATCAAATACATTGTTTAGGATAACTTTAAATGTTCTGGTTTATGCATGTATGCTGTGGTCATTTGTCATGGCATCAAGTGAGAATACTTAAAGTGTATCTGCTAAATTGCTTAATTCTTTGCTAAGGAACAGGAAAAAACATGAACAACAGGAAAAGAGAAAGTGCTGGTTCACACATGTGCAGGGCAACATGGAGAAACCTCTTTGTGAGTTAAGCTGTACATGGATACAATCTCCATTGAGCACCAGACATTCCTACAATCACAGCAGTCACAGGATACCAAATAGAGAAAATAAATGGCTGCTTCACATATGTGAATGAGCCCTTGGCCCGGCATGCCACTTTTCAAAGTTGGAAATGCAGCCACAAGCTGCAGTCAAACAAAACAGTTTATAAAATTGTATTATAGTATTTCATATTTTTAGATCATCATCTTCAGTATAGTATACTTAAAATGCCCTGATTACATGATAAAGCAGGCAACATGTAAATACAGGGTTAGCAAGAGAAACTAGTGGAGCTGAGCCCTGACTACTCTGATAGCACAAATAAATCATAGCTTGAATAGCAAAATACACATATTATCTTTATCAGACCATGAATAAGAGAAAAAAGAAATTAACTCTTGTGTTCATACTTAGCTTGCACTTTTGGTGATCACAATGTCTGAAATACTAAAATAAGTTTTTGTACACAACCTCAGTGGTAGTGGCCTGGTAAACTCTTGGATCACATGTGCAGAGGGACTAACTTCTCTGCCTTTTTATTTACTGGACATTTTCTGTAGTATATGCTACAAAGGACTCAGGACCAAGATGAAAATGTGGCTTTGGAGGCCTGTGAATTTTGGCTTACTTTGGCCGAGCAGCCAATTTGCAAAGATGTACTGTGTCGTCATCTTACCAAGTAAGTTGATTCCACCCTTTGCCCACCCTCTGCCTGGAATGTTGCAATAGCAAATTTGGAATCAATATGTATCTTGATTTCACTGTCTCTTTAAAACATTTTTACAGATTTTTGTTAGCATGGTCAAGCTTTCACTTAAGTACATATCTTGACTTCAGTTCTTATGCTTTTGTAGTGCTTAGTTGAGTGTGAGAACTGGGGTTATCTCAGTTTTCCGGATGATACTGTGCAAGGAGGAAAGGCAGGAATGCCTGTTTATTCAGCTGCTGACACACCTTTTTCATTTTGGGAATGTGATGCATGGAAGATGTATACTTAATTCCAATAGGTTTAAAGGCGTGAATGAGTCTTTACGTACTGTTTCTAGAGGGTCTGTAGCAATGACAATTTCTGCCCAGTGGGGCTTCTAGCTCATTGTTCACCACTCAGTGTTTCCGAAGGATTGGTGCATGCCTTATGAATGCCTTGATGCTTTTATTAAAGCACAAAGAGAAAATAGCATTATAGTCTTCTAAAGTATCAGTAATAAACATAATAGTAAAATCGTGTGCATTTGGCCTAAGTTTGGGATAACGTAGCTATTAAGGCTTGGTTTTAGAAGTTATAGTAGAACCATATAAATATTCAAGATTTTTGGAAAAAAGTAATGAAAGTTGTTAGTAAATATGAAATCATACTCCTTTGTCCCCTGTGCGATTCTTATTTGGGATATAGAAATACGGTGCAGTTAAATTACGAAAAAAGATAATTATCACAGAGAGAGTTGAAATACTAAGAAGTGGAATGAATGTGAAGGTCTTTGCTTTGAGGTTTGGCTGAAAAGAACTTGTGATATGCTAAGATATATAACATGTTTGAACTTACATGCTTGGTTGAGTTTTGTTGTGGTGAGGGTAAAAGCTAGTAAGATCAAAAATTGAAAACAGTACTTGGTGTATTGAAATAATTATGACATTCTTTAGAAGTATTGAAAATGTTATGTATCCTTAAATATTTAGCACCTTATAAAATTAAGGTGCCAATTTTATTCTGACAAATAAAATGTACTGTTTGTGTGTTATTTAAAAAGCTGTTCAAGCCCAGTCCCTTAAGTGATTGGACATATTATATCAGTACTTGATGTTAGAAATTTGCAAGGATTGTAATAGCACTAGAGAACCTTGTACATTGTTAAATCCTGCTAAGTTAATTGGTAACAATTGAATAAAGTCTTTTCTCTTTAGGTTGATACCTGTTTTAGTAAATGGCATGAAATACTCAGAAATAGATATCATTCTGTTGAAGGTAAGCATGTTTCATATCCTCCATTTAGTGAAGGAATGCTAATCAATAACTGCCACTTTTGTATCCTTTACAATGTTTGTTCGTCACACAAATGCAGCTAACTGTAGCACATTAAGCTACAGTATACCGACTTACCTGGGATTAAGCCCCACAATATTTGGTGATACTTGCTTTTGATTAGTCATGCATAGGATTACTCTGCTAGCTACTCTTGGCAGTTTCATGGACTGACTACTTTCAAGAGTTCTGTGCATCCTTCCCATATTCTTGTAATGGGTTTCTAGAAAGTGTAGGACTGAATTTTTAAAAGGAAGGTCAATTTTAACTTGTATTTAAACTCTTTCTTCAGTAATAGCTTTTGCAAGTTTTTATTTATATAACATTACTATTATGTGCAATTTAAGTGTACTAGATCTCCAGAGCTTTAGGCTATGAAATGTAACTTTGGTATGTGAACTCAGCATATAAAAAGGGCCCAATCCTAGGGCCTCCTGATATTATCTGCAAAGCCATAGGATTATTTGGAGTCCTAGCTCCAAGTTCCTGCGATCTTGGAGGTTAGGTTCGTGCCCTGCTCACTCACAGCCAGTATGAAAGAACCACACTGGCTGCCCCTGTCCCAAGGTGTCACAACTGGAGGAGGGGAAAACATGCTGGCAGAAATGGAGAAGGCTGGAGCTGTGGATTCCATTGATTGCAGTCGGTGCCTCAGCTTTCTTTCTTCCATCTCCCAGATGTTAAATCTAGATGGATGAAAATGCCTGTCTAGAGAAATTGCAAGGTCCAAGATGTGGCAGCAGTGGAATTTCCCAGTGCTGTGCCTCACTTCTGCCGTTGAATTTTCATGAGTCTTTAAGTTGACTCTCTAGACTGCTATTGGATAACTCAAGAGTTCCTGCTCCTGCTCTGGAAATTTGCTCTATGATCAGAGCTGGGATTTTTAAAATGTGTGTATTTTTCATTTTTATACCACCCAGTACCTCAAGGCTCTCCAAATGCCCTCCCTCTGCTCCAGAGCTGGTGCAGGAAGAATAGAGCTGGCTGTGGCTTCAAGGTCACAAGAGCAACTTTGGGCTTTCTGGGGATGGGAGGCAGTGAAGAGAGGTGTTGCCACAATGTGCAGTATTCTAGCAGCACTCCATCTTTTTCTCCTCATGTTCTGGGACAAAAGACTTAAGGAATGAAACAGGCCATCTTAAGAGTTTTCCAGGGCAAGAAGAGTGCAGAAGTGACCTTTGTCACAAAGCTACTTCAGCCTTCCATAGGATGCCAGTGGTTGTACAAGTTTACAGGATTATGGCATTAGATAACACTATAAAGCAGATGCAGAAATATGAAAAAAAATCTAGAAATATATATCTATCATTCATCTACAGTTTGGTTTCTGATAACAGGGAGATGTTGAGGAAGATGAAGCTATCCCAGATAGTGAACAAGATATAAGGCCCCGGTTTCATCGTTCGCGAACAGTAGCACAGCAGCATGAAGAAGATGGGTTTGAAGAAGACGATGACGACGATGACGAGCTTGATGATGATGACACTATTTCTGACTGGAATTTAAGTAAGTCAAATGATCATTTGAAATAGTTAATAAATTCCAATTACTGATATGGCATGTCTGCTTTTCCATATATTTTGTTAAGCCATACAGTTATTAACAGTTTATCTGGAGTTATAAACTATTTTAAGTTTCCTTGACTTTTTTTAAACAAAAGAAAAGCATTGAGTTGGGTAATTTGCTGGTGTAATTTCCTTGTAAGCAACCACAAGTAGAACAGCAGCATGTAGCCCTTGGCAGCAAGGTTAACCTCTCCTGCTTTATAACTAAAATATGTCTCATAAATGTACTGATCTTTTACTTGCTTTTTACTTTAGGGAAGTGTTCAGCAGCTGCTCTTGATGTCCTTGCCAATGTATTCCGTGATGAACTGCTGCCACACATTTTGCCCCTTTTAAAAGAATTGCTTTTTCATCCAGAATGGGTGGTGAAAGAGTCAGGCATCCTTGTTCTAGGAGCAATTGCTGAAGGTAAATAATTTTTTGTGCTGCAGGCATTTTTGTAAATAATAATCACTTGTGTGTTGCCATCTATGCTTTACAAAGGACAGGTATAACCAGGCCAATACCCCAAGGGCTTGAAATCTAAAACAGACGCACAGAAACTTCTGAGGGAGGGGGAAATAGAGGCATGGATAAGTGGGAAAAGAATATGCAATTGTTTCACTTACATGGCTTAGTTATAATAAAACAATGAAGAAAGTATGGTGGGGCGGAGTCATCCAAGGGCTACTTGGAAAAGGGACTTGGCAGGAGGGACTTGAAAGAAATAAAAAGAATATAGTAAAGGTGAACTTGGTTTGGTGCCTATCATTTTGGAAGCAAAACATCATGCTCCCAAATAAGGTAGTGATTTCTGCAACTTTGGAGAATTCTCTAGGCATGGAAAGTTATTAATTTGCAAAATAAGACTGCCCACCCAAAACCCCCAGTGGAGACTGAGCATGTTCAGTGGCCTGTAGGAGCTAAAGGAATGTTGATTGTCAGTTAGAAAATAAAAACGAGGTGTGGGGAGAATAGAGAGGAGGGAATTACATGCTTGAGCCCTTGACAACTTAGAGTACTCTGCAGAAAGCCATAGCTGGACAGCCAGAACCGTGAATAGGAGCAGTATGGTTATGGAGTAAGGATACATAAAGGAACATAGAAGCTGCATTCTGTTAAGCTGGACCACTGCTGTTGTTGACACTGGCTGACAGCAGCAGGTCTCCAGGCTTTCAAGCAGGATTTTTTTTCAGCCCTACCTGGAGATACTTGGGGATTGATTGAAGTCGCTTACTTCTCATGCAAAGCATGTACTCTACTTCTGAGTCATGTGTCTTATCCTTGACAGTTAACCTCTACTATAAATCCCACTTGTGGTTCTGAAATCTCAGAAAAGCACATGAGTTTTTGTTTCATTTCAAGCCCCTGCTTTTTGCATTAAACTGTATTCCAAGTAGTTTATTCTTTTAGCAAGAATTTTATTCAGACCCAAAACAGCTTTAACCAGCTGACCTAATAGTTCTATAACTATTACTGGAAAATAGTCTCATATTTTGAATGGCATAAGCTTCCTAATCATGGATAGTTAAGCATTACTTTTTCTTCAGTGAGGAAACCATGGATACATCTTATTTTAAATGCATTAGATCTCCAGTATGTGGGTATCTCACTTCTCTTTAGACAGAGAGTATGTCCCTGTAAGGGCTGAAGTGTTCCTAAGAATATTGAGGACTGTTGCCTAAAAACTGTATTATTTTTTTGCTGATAACTGTCTCCAAAGTCAACAGTTCTGCAAATCAGAATCTGTTATGTACTCTCTGGGAACTAATGAGAATTTAATGTAGTTGGATATAGCCAAAAAGGCAATCTCCACACGTGGTTATAGCCTTTCTATTGTCAGAGTTTCATGTAGAGCAGGGAACTGCTTACTGGTGGGAGCCTGGATGAGTCCCTAACAGTTATCAACTATCAACTAATTTGAAGAGAGCTGTGGAGATATTCCTGTCCTTTGGGGCACAGAGCTTTGGGGAGGGGCCTCTCTCCACAGGCCAGATGGATTGACCTCATTTAGAGGTTGCCTATCCTTAATGTAGAGTCTTATAATGCTGCGAGAAGTTACAGGTGGAGCTGTGAATACTGGTAACGATATTTTTCATGATCTTCTCAGCTTTAAAATACTTAAAGCATTCTCTATGAAATGTTACATAAGTGTTAGAGAATTTTGGAAGAAGCTGTATCTGATCCAGCTTGCAGAATGGTGTGTGTATGCCTTGCGTAAATAGATCTGTGTCTGAATGAATGACTAGATGAATGAGAAGGAGCAAGGGGGAAGAGAGAAGAGCTACCCCCCCCACACACACACTCTCTGCTCCACCTACCATGGGTAGTCAGCACCTAACCTGGGGTTGGGCAGCTTGTGATCTTCCAGTTATTTTGACCTATCACTCCTGTCAGTGTTTTCTATCTTGTTTTTGGTAGCTATGAGCCTTGTTAAAAGTATATGAGAATACTGCACTTCTGAACCATATTTTTCTCATTGGCTTTACTGCTTTGTGTGTTCATAAAGGAGTGGTTCAACTAAAAGGTTTCTAACTGGTGTTATATCCTTACAGGTTGCATGCAGGGTATGATTCCATATCTTCCTGAGCTAATCCCTCACCTTATTCAGTGCCTCTCTGATAAAAAGGCTCTTGTGCGATCCATTACTTGTTGGACTCTTAGCCGCTATGCACACTGGGTAGTCAGTCAACCCCCAGACACGTACTTGAAGCCATTAATGACTGAGTTGCTAAAGCGTATCCTTGACAGCAACAAGAGAGTACAAGAAGCTGCCTGCAGGTAGGTCATAGCTGTAAAAAAATTATGGATGACCTACAAGTCCTACAATTTTGAAAACTGTTAGTGTGGGCTGGAAATTTTCGGTGCTTGTATTTTTCCATGGGAAATTTTCCATTCCATAAATACATTAATAAGAATGAAGGGTTGCCAGTTGCAAATACTGTGTTTTTCAAACATGGCAGTTCAAAGTTGTAGATGAATGTTTGTCAGCATGTCATGAACCATTCACTGGATGGCTAAAATTTACTAATAGGTCAACAGTTTTCAGTATGCTCATGTTGCTCTTAAATTCAGAAAATGTAAGGAAAGTTTATACTGCTCTTTTACACTTTTTACAAGTATTTCAGTAAAAATTTCTATATAATAATGGCATCAAGTGTATTTTAGTTTCCCCTTAAATATTTTATTCAGATACTTGTGTATTGGAGATTTCTTTTAGCCCTGTTTACTAAATGCTAGTAGACTAAAACTGCTAAATTATATCACTCCTTAGGACATCAGAAATTTTCTGATGAAAGGTACCTTTTTTTTTTCCAGAACTAGTGAATAATCTTACAGCACAATCCAACAGCCTCTAGGCAGCATCCAGATGGCCATTGGATTCTTTTAGATTCCCAGTAATGAAGCTTAATTATCACTCTAATCTTGAAGCTGAGGATCCATGGTTGGATCCACTGCCCACCCCTCACAGCCAGAAAGAACTGCACTGGCTGCTTGTCCAAGAATGTAAGACATTGGAGAAGGGCTTTCGGGCATTCCCCATGGTGGGAGGAGAACAACAGTGCTGCACTCCTGTCCTGCATAGGTTTCCTGTAATCCTTTGAGTTTGGAGGGTTATGAGAATCCCCATAGGATTTTGCCCCTAATGCAATCTAGGCAAACTTCTTTTGGGGATATTATAGGAATTACTGTCCAGTTCTAAATATCCTTCTAGTAGCTTTTCTGTTCTGTGTGTGTGTGTGTGTGTGTGTGTGTGTGTGTTTTTAAAGGAATAACAATTTTGTCACAGATTTTTCTCTTTACATCTTACTGTCAAGCATAGAGCATGCATGCAGAGTAGTCTAAGGAAGGCAAACTGAAGCTATTATATTAAAACACAATCCAGAGAAGCATTAAAGCAATTTTGTACATGTATTGGAGCTTCTGAGTTCTATTCTCTTTGGAAATGTAGCCCTTTGTACTATTTGACCAGCCATCTCTGCAACTTGGGAGCATTATAAAAACTCCTTATAGCTGGAATGACCTGATGTTCAAAATAAAATAAGGAATCCTTGCACACCAAGAATTTGGATTATAAACTGATTAATGGTGATCTGAAATGTAAGCAGGTACCTGAATACATTGAATATTGAAATGCAGTCCATCATACACACTTTGATGAGTGTTTCACGTAAATCACTGAATGTTTGGCTGAGGGCAAGCACAAGTTTCTTGCATTTCACAAGCTGTTGGATCAGTGTTTTGATTATTATTTTTTAAGGATTTGATAGTTTATCCAAAAGAAAGTGTTCTCTTTCATTCTGTAGACTACATTTGTTATTTGTTTCTTAGTGCCTTTGCTACTCTAGAAGAGGAGGCTTGTACAGAACTTGTTCCTTACCTTGCATATATACTTGATACTCTGGTCTTCGCATTTAGTAAATACCAGCATAAGAATCTGCTCATTCTTTACGATGCCATAGGAACTTTAGCAGATTCTGTAGGCCATCACCTAAACAAACCAGTAAGTATTATCCTTTTATATTAGATAAAGTTGTAGAGTTTTATTTACTTCTCCATTAGACCTCTGCTCTAAAGTTTATTTCCATCTGTGTATCGCAAGAAGGGAAATTTCAACACATTTTGTTACCTAGCCCCAGGTAATTTGGACCATCATCTTCAAAAACTCTTTCAACTAATCTTTGATTGTCTTGAATTTTGCTTGGTTTATGTTAGTTTGTTTCAAAGTGTGCTGAAATCTAAAGTGTAACCTTCATTTTTGAAATGCTATAGAACTGTAGCTTAAGAATGGCACATAGATATTTTTCTCAAATTCTCAAAGTGCTTCACTTACACTATCTGTTACGAAGATTGCTGTTCCATAAAACAGGTTGCTATTATTCTGCTGTTACAGATGGAGAAACTGAGGCAGAACAGAGAAACTTGAAATTTAATAAAATAGTCTTTTGCAAGTTGATAATTTTATGGCTGTGTTGAGTTTTCAAATGTAGGCTCCAAACCATAAACTGTGCTATTACACAAGCTGCCTGCAGATTGCACATAATGATCCAGTGTGTACGCCACTGTGAAACTAGCTACATGAACCAGAGTTCTTTTTAAATACTTCTTTTGTAGTCGTTTTCCCTGATTGGGTAGTTTTGAAACCGGCACACACCTTTCCATGTCATGTGTCAAAATGCTGCTGAAACTGAAGGTAGTTCAAGCTGATAACTTTGAGGAAAGTTAGGAAACTAATATGGAATGTGAAGCTCTGCAAAGAACACGTTCAATTAATTAACTCTGCACCCTGGCTATATCTGTAGACACGGAAGTTGGTTATTTGAACTGTAAGTTCCTCTGTTCATTTGAAGTCTCACAAAAGTGACTGGAAACAAAGGTCTCTTTACTTGAATCAGAGCAGGTATATTCATGGATATGATAGCACTGTGTACTTAAAAAAAAGATTGCTTTTTTCTGGAAGTTGCAAGAGATGTGTAATTACATTTAGTTGTTCATTTACATTAGATATTATATATATCCTGCTTTTTCTTCCATCAGGAGAACAAAGCAGATGTCAATAAGTATAAAGTAATCAATACAAAACACCAGATTACAATCAGTATAGACACAGTGGGCAGGTTTGCATGTAACCTCAAGCTGCCCCTGTAAATAAGCTGCACAGTGTGAGTTATTTGTTAAGCAACTCATGGTACACCTAGCAGACAGCTGGGCTTTCCATGACTTATTCTCCCTGTCCTTCCCTTTCAAGGCTTCCAGCCAGGTCTACCACATATTTTTCAGAGCTTCAGGAAAATACAGTTGGGATTGGATGATGATGATGATTTCTGTATGACATAAGTGTCCTCTTATGGCTGCCCAATATGTATAGTATTGCCTAGTCAATATCCTTACCTGTTTCAAAAAGGTTCTAAAAAGTTGCTGTGAAAAGCAGGGAAACAATATTTTCCTGTTACGTAGTAACCGGAGACTTGGGAACTGTTGGAAAGTGTTATTGAGAAGTGTAAGTTCAGTACTTAAAAGCAAGATATTTACATTGCCAAAGTGGAGATAATTGCTCCCAATTTAGGTGTAGTTCTTTGGCTCTCCCCCTTTCATCACATTGTTGGTACAACTGACTTAGTCTGCAACTCCCTTCTTTCTCATAGTATTTTTTTCCTCAGGTCTCTTGCAACCTCATTTACTGAGAGGCAACGTCATCCTGTCAGTCTGTGTTACCTATTTCACTTTCCCTTTAACATTGGAACAGGCAAAAATAAATGACCAGGCAAAACTACACATGCTGTATAGCTGTAAGAGTACACTTGCAAAAAACCAACAATAATGGTACTATTATCATCATCATCATCCCAATTGGACATTTTTCAAATTCTGAAAAATAATTTTACAAAAAGCAGTGGAACAGTTGATGTTCCTTCCAAAGTGCCATTTCAGCCTTTGTGGAAGGGCATTTGTTACCTAGATAGGAATAAGCAAGTGGCATGGCCTTTCCCCCCCACTGTTGCTGAGTAGTTCTATAACCTATGGTAAAATCAGGTTGTCAGGTTTGGATGACATGACAACCCATAATGGGCAAAAACAACCCAACAATAAGCCTTGGGATCTCCTATGGCTTGCTGCAAAAAATAACCAACCCTGCTCTGAATGCTCTGGGTTCAGATGGTGTGACAATCTATCATGGCTACCTGCCCACAGTGCATTGTTATGTCTATGAAGCCATTCAGTATATAGCCAGACAATAAAGAAAGTAGCCTTCTCAGTTAACAAATGGCTCAGAAAGCCACAAAAGCACAGGAAGCTCTTGTTTGGGCTTTCTGAGCTTCTTTATGCCTCTGTTTCTGTGAAGACTCCCTCTTCTGCAGCTCTATACACTTCATGCAGCATGGCAAATGATGAGATTACTGATCTTCCCATCAGCTACAGATCATCAGAGAGGCCTGTTGATGTGTTGGGAAAGTTTTAGTTAACCAGCATCTGACAAAGATCAGCCTGCTCATCTGACATTCCTCAAATTTCAGCCGTCCGGAGATCTTGTATAATAGGATGGCATACAAAAGCTTTTAATTAATTAATTAATTAAATGATTGCATATCATGCTTTGCAAGCTTGTGTTGAATAACTGCTGAGTTCTTGCTAACAGTTAAGCATCAGAATCTAAATCATCTTCCCCCACAGTCTTTGAGTGAGATAAACTAAACTACTGCCATTCAAACTAATGGGAGAAACTTTGCTTCAAGACTTCCATGATGCATATTGCTGAGGATGAATTAACTGTCAGGATGGCAAGGAGCCATCCATGCATGGAAGTCTTCGCATTTCCAACTATAAATGCTAAGTCAATCTCATATACCCATAACTGGTTGTGGTAGCTAATGCTTTTGCAGAGGAGGAAAAGGAGTTGAACATGACTTTCAAGATGAGGAATGGTATTATTTGGATTCCTTATAGAATATATGTTTGTGTTTATACTAAAAAGTGAATGAATTTATCTAATGCATTTCTTGCTGCCTTTCAAAACGTTCATTTTCCCAAACCAGCTGACAATTAAAATGTTCAGTTTTAAATAAGAATAAGCCAGTTTCAATAAGTCAATCCAATCCAAAACTTAATAAAAGTAGTATATAATAAAATCCTTTCAGTTTAAAGCTCAAGAAAAATAAGTTTCTAAAAGCATCCTAAAAAAGCAGATGGAGCTGCCCACATATCTCTTAGGAAGGAACTCCATAGGGCAGGAATCACCACTGTGAAGGTCTGTAGTGCTTCTTGACCTTATGGATTTTAATAGTGGGCTTCTGTGTTATGTTTTCAGAGATATATTTACTTTATTTCTTAGCTGTTTTTTAAGAGAATAGGCCCAAGGACATAAAACAATTCTATGTATGATTTTAATACATGCTGATCTTAACACAAGGGACAGTTCATAAAAGTGTACACCAGCTTTACCCAACCTGGTATCTGCCACATGTTTTTGATTTCAGCTCTCATGTGCCCAAGCCAGCATAAACAATCATCAGGAATTTTGGGTATTGTAGTCTAAAACATCTGGAGATCATCACTTGGGGAAGGAGGGGGCAGGCAGTCCTTCAAATAACCTGCTTCCAAACTCTTGTTTTAAAGGATGAAAGCAAGACTTCAGATTGGCCTGGAAATACACTGGCAATCAGTGCAGCCTAGCTTTGACATGGACTGAAGTTGCTATATTGTGGCACAGTAGACGTTTTGAAGTTGCTTTCAAAGGCAGCCCCATTTAGAACACATTCTGGTAGTCCAGTCTAGATTTACTGCATTTACATAATTGAGGTCAGGTCTGCTTTCCCTAGATTGAGCTGCAGCTGATACATCAGCCAAAGTTGATATAAACTATTTCAGCTTCCATAGATGATAGTGAATCCAGAACCATCCCCCAACTATGAACTTGATTCTTTAGGCAGAGTGCCATTCTGTTTAATACCAGTTGAATCCCTCTCTGCGGGTCAGCAGATTTCACCACCCATGGTGGTTCTGTCTTACCTAGTTTAAGTTTCAGCTTCCTCATCCATCCTAAAACTACTTCCAAGCATCTTTTGAACAGTTCCACAGGCTTCTGTGAATGTGTAGGTCATGGGTCCTCAAACTATGGCCCATGGGACAGATCCGGCCTGCCATGCCCATTCATTTGGCCTGCGCCGCCATGCTCGCTCGGAGATGGTTTTGGAGTCGCTGGGAGATCTCCAAACGAGCGAGCTGCCAGTGCCGCCGAACGCCATCTCGCATGCACCTGACGACGCCTCACCAGTCCGCGTGCCCAGGCCTCCCCTCCTCACCAGCCCGCACATGTAGCCGCTGCCTTTCAACTGGTCCCCTATTGAAAAAGTTTGAGGACCCCTGGCATAGGTAGAAAATGCAGGTAGAACCATGTATCTTGCATGTTGGTGATACTGCAGCCCAAACCTCTGGATGATTTCCTCCAATTTACAGGTTTCATGTGGGTAACAGAACAAAATCTTGCAGTACTCCAAAGGGTATTAACAAGATTATCAGAATGGCATCAATACCAAATTTCACATGTTACTGTTTGTAACTTGCAGGGAACATTAAGGCTGCAATAAGGCTGTTATCCTGTACATACTTACCTGGGAATAAGCCTCATTGAATTAAATGGCACTTGTTTATGCGTATTTAGATAAATATGTGTTGGGGCAGAACAGAGAAACTTGAATTCTTCAAAAAAAAAATGGAAACAATCAATGACTTGCAGCAAAAAAACCCAGTGTCATGCCAAATTTAATGGGACATACTCCCAGGCAAGTATGCCTAGGAGTGCAGCCTTAATGCCCTTTGCTATCTATAAACAGTAATATTTGAAATTGTATTGCTGCGCTGATATTGATACCATCCCAGGAATTTGGTTAATCAAGGGTTATTTCTAGAAAACCCTAATTTCTAATTAGGAAAGGATGAATCAATTCTGTTTATGGTTGATGTCAATTTAACATATACTCAATCATAAAGCTATAGTCTAGAGCTTTCCACAGCAGTCTAGAAATATGGTGTATTTATTCATATGCAGTTCCCCCAATACACAGTTTTTGTATGCTTCTTTCCCTCATGTATACATCTTGTATGCAATCTTGTGAGTCAAGAATTGCACTGCAAAATTTGAAGAAGTGAGCTATCTGTGGGATAACTGGTCCAGTACACCTTTTAAGTGGGAAAAGATAAAGTAGGTTGGGTTGCATAAAAATGTGGACTAGATAATTTTTCCTTTCTACCCTTAAAATAGCTTCTTGACTTTAAAATCTGCAGTTTTTGGATAGACCCTACTTTTGTTCCACATTTAAACCCACATTCCTCCCCTCATGATGCTGAGAATTGAATTCAGGTACCTATCTCACTGAGAAACAGAATTGGAGAGAGCTATTGAGTCAGAGCCCAAATTATAGTTAAAATCAAAATGATTAAAAATACATTTCTTGAAGGTCATTTACAGTTGTGTAGGCTGTTAACTTTTGGAGATCATATTAAAACACAACACGGATAATATGCCTAATATTTCAAATAGAAACATCTGTTAATAAAATTTATTATTATTATTATTATTATTATTATTATTATTATTATTATTATTATAATAACATTTCTATGCCGCCCCTTGCCGAAGCCTCGGGGCAGCTAACAACACAATAAGAAACACTGAAATACAATAGAACATAATAAATTACCAATAAATACAGAAATACAAAAAATACACTGAGATACAATAATATAAAATTAAAATTAACAGTATAAAATAAGTAAATCAAGAATATAGGAGGAGGAAAGAGAAGGAAGAGGAAGTTGCCCTGGCCAGATCAAATATTTTAACAATTGAAATGATGTTTAAATAAAAAGGTCTTTACCTGGCGCCGAAAAACCAGTAACGACGGTGCCAGGCGGACCTCTTTGGGGAGTGAATTCCATAGGTTGGGTGCCACTGCAGAGAAAGCCCTCCTCCGAGTACTTACTCTCCTAATTTCTTTCATGGAGGGTTCCCAGAGAAGGGACTCTCCCGCAGATCTCAAGGGGCGGTCGGGCATATATGGACGTAAGCGCTCGTTCAGGTAGCCAGGACCCAAGCCGTTTAGGGCATAACCAACACCTTGAATTGGGCCCGGGCTTCAATGGGAAGCCAGTGAAGTTGACGGAGGACTGGAGTCATGTGAGCATAACGCCCCGTCCCCGTCAGCAACCTGGCAGCTCTATTTTGCACCAATTTACATTGCTCAATTGCATAACTTTATTTCATTGTCCACAGGAATATATTCAGATGCTTATGCCTCCATTAATCCAGAAATGGAACATGTTGAAGGATGAAGATAAAGATCTTTTCCCTTTATTAGAGGTATGTGCTACTATTTACTAATGTTTTTTCTAATTGTTGTTGATATACATACTATCTTATAAGCTTGCCACTCTATGAGGGTAGGTTACACAGGGAGAGTAACCTGTGTAACATTCATTTGCCTGGGAGTAAGTCTCTTTGAATCCATTGGGATATGTTCCTGAGTATGGATGTGTAGGACTTCAGTGTAAGAACCACTGAGGTCTGTGGCTAAGTGGGTTTTTTTGTTCTGAACATTGTATGTTAGAACTCTGTGTTCTGCTCATGTTACCACAGTGTTGTGGACTGTTATAATTTGGCATGACATGTACTCCTTTTGTACTTTGAAAAGTTGTCTTTTTAAGACAGTAGAAAATGTCCTTATTGGCAAGGTATATGTTCTAGTCCAAAGCCCATATACTTCCTACTGTTTGTTCTGTATTTCAGTGCCTATCTTCGGTTGCCACTGCCTTGCAATCTGGCTTCCTTCCATACTGTGAACCAGTGTACCAGCGTTGTGTGAACCTGGTACAGAAGACTCTTGCACAAGCCATGGTATTTTTCTATTGTCAATCTTAAGAGCACAAAAAAATTCAATTTCAGTGAAATAAATGCTTGCTTTTTAGATGTATAACATCCTTTGACCAAACCCATTGGTGTAAAAAGTATAAACAGGAAAAAAGATTAATTGTATGTTGCTTTTAAGTATGGCCCAAATTACTTTCTTTTTTAAAATTACAGTTGCACAATGCTCAACCAGACCAGTATGAAGCTCCAGATAAAGACTTTATGATTGTGGCTCTTGATTTACTTAGTGGCTTAGCTGAAGGACTTGGAGGCAACATTGAACAGTTAGTGGCTCGGAGCAATATCCTGACACTAATGTACCAATGCATGCAGGTGAGACATACATTTCCTCTTCTCTCTCATCCCTTTAAATAGAATATTTTAAAAGGAAACATAAATTTGTCTCTATTTTTCTTTCCTAGGATAAAATGCCTGAAGTACGGCAAAGTTCTTTCGCATTGCTAGGTGATCTGACAAAGGCGTGTTTTCAACATGTGAAGCCTTGCATTGGTATGTTAGTTAACACTGCAGATCCTTACCATATATGGATGAAACTATGGTGTACTTTGAGATTTATGTTTCAAGTCACTGTGTTTTGCAAGTGTCTGCTACAGTAATGACAACTGCTTCCATGTTTAAAGCAAATGTTGAGAGTTATTTTCCTTTTTGATATGAAGACGCATCTAGCAACAGGTTCCTACCCCCTAGGAAAGGCAAGGAACATGTGACCAAGATCTTTTCCTTAGTACTAGTGATCTCTGGCTTGTCCCCCTTACTCCCCCTTGTCTAAGCATGAGATAGCATCAGTGAGCCCTAGATTATCTGAAGACCCACAAGTATGGTTTCAATGTGTCCATCACACAAGATCACATTGCAGTAAGTGACCAATGTGTCTGGTGAGAGGTGGTATCCAGCAGTGCTTTGATTGCAAACCAAACTCATTAGTTGGCTAGGAAGTGTCTCAGCTTGGAATATGTAGGACTTGGAGATGCATGCTTGGAGCCACCTGGCAAGGGTGAGGCATTTTACCTTGCACAGCCATTTTCTTCTTGTACAATACTTATATCATGGGTCTTCTGGAACGCTTGCTTCTTTTCTAGTTCTGATATAGATGATGTACTCAGATTCCCAGAATGAATGGACCTGGTATTCTGCGAGTTCATACTTTAGTTTCTTCTTGGGAGAGGAAAGTAATAATGGAATGCACTTTTTATGATTGCTGTACTTATGATAGTGTGCCTCTGTGCTTGATCCAACTTGGGAAGGGGTATAATTAATTACAAACTATTAACTATCCCCCCATTTCTGCTGGCAGATTGCCATCAGTAGTGATAAAGCTTTTTATTCTGTTCCATTTTTTCCTTTTCATGGGATTGTTACTTGACAGCTTTTGTTACACAGAATAAATGCATCACACTTGTTTATAAAAGAAAGACCAGTTGAAAGTGTAAATTAAAAAGAAAATTACTCTCAAATATTTAGATTTAGATATTTAGAAACATCTGTTAATATGCACATCTCTCTTTAAAAATCTTCCCCTAGTTTGTAATGGTGCTGAATTTTACCATATTAGAAACATAGGAAGTTGTCTTATACCAAATCAGACCATTGTGCCATCTAGCCCTGTGTTGTCAACACTAACTGGCATTGGCTTTTCAAGATTTCAGACAGGGGCGGGGCACTGAATTTGGGACTTCTGCATGCAGAATATTTCTCCTGCTACATACTGCAGTCATCCAATAACTACTTGTGCTTTCTGCTTTGGCATTTGGCCATCTTCTTATTGGTTAGAACTATTTCAGGAGAAGTTTTTGATAAAAAAAGAATTCTTGAAAATTTGTGTGAAGTTCTAGTAGTGGAAAAATGTTAATAGTGTGGCTTGTTTGTATTCCTTTCAGCTGATTTCATGCCAATTTTGGGAACCAACCTAAACCCAGAGTTCATTTCTGTATGTAACAATGCCACATGGGCAATTGGAGAAATTTCTATTCAGATGGGTAAGAGTCACTTGATTGATGCTAGTTTGTGCATATTAGTCTTGTCAGTTACAAATTCTGGTCTTTCGTTGTACTAATGTGCCCAATAAGAAGTGTACATTTTATTTTTCTAATGGACTGTTTATGTGTTGTATTTTTTAGGTATAGAGATGCAGCCTTATATTCCTATGGTATTGCACCAGCTTGTAGAAATCATTAACAGACCCAACACACCAAAGACTTTGTTAGAAAATACAGGTACCCTACAACTGAACTGTTTGCAGTGAATGAATTATTATAGATGCCTGTTTTTAAACCATAATATTCAGAAAGCTGTAGAGAAACTGTGGCAATGTGACAGTGAAAGCAATTCTGAATGTATTTACAAGATTGTGTTTTGCACTTACAATTTGATGACTAGATTCTAATTTTTAATTTCATAAGAGTGCATAAGAACTGGATACTCCTAGTTTAATTACTAAAACCCAGATAAACACAGATTTAAAAATAACACAGAATTTGATGTCCTTTTATATGCAAATAAATTGTGTGTGTAGACAACTAACATTCAAAAGCCTTAAAAATATAACTGGCAGTAAAATGAAAGCAGATCAATAATTAAAGAAAAATCCCCAACTGAATGAACATTTCTAATATTGTTAACTTATTTTAATTAAGTAGTTTCTGTATATTGTTCCCTTAAAAGCCTGTTGATAATTACATATTTACAATTGAGGGTGCCTTTTAAAATGGAGTTTTAGGCTAGTCTGGCACTTGTAAATAGCATGTCTGTTTTTTTAAAACATAATTGCTTTTAAATGATCTGTCTTAACTATCGTGCCTGCACTGTACTCTGATACCAAACGTATCAAGCCCCTGAATGCACATAGTCCCAATCTGTATGGAACATGAGTGGTTACCTGAATCAGTCCAAACATTGATGGTTTTGCCATTGATGTTAGGGGCATGGATGTTCAGATCATACTCTATGCATGCTATGATTTGGCTCATTATAGATATTGCACTGTTCACAATGAGTTTGCAAATACTGTTGCCTTGTAGAACAATTCTATTATATTGAAGAATCTCCTAAAGAATAAAAGGGATTGTGAAACTTTTACTTTTATTTGTGCATTACCTGTAGTGCTTCATTGGTGCATTACCTGTAGTGCTTGCTTTTTATATAGTGCAGATATTAAGAGACATCATATCCCTCACTATTAGTTTTAAATAATGTAAATACACATCTGAAAAGTTGATACTACAGATAAATGTTGAATGTGTTGTATTCTAGGTTTGTTGTGGGATATTCTGCTATCTGCTATAGGATATTAGAATATTTGAAATTTCAATACAGTATATATAGCTTTAGAAAACCTAGAACATTAAGATGTTTGTCCTGTGAACGCGATAAGAATACCTGTGAAAAACAGACTGTGTAGTTTAAAATCTCTCTTCTCAACCATTACATGCTTATTGTAATAATTATTACATGCTTATTGTAATAATTACAATGGAGTTGATCAATCTGGCTTTTGGGTAAAAAGAAAAGCAAGTTTCAAGCTTGACAGTAATATCAGAGCTTGATTTGTATATACCACAACAATTAAATAGAAAATAAAGGTAATTTAGCCATATATTGTAGTAAAAAAGATACTTTTAATCTTGATATATCCTACACCAAATCTTACAGTGAAAAGAGCATCATCTGCTTTATTGCATGTGTTCATGAGATTGTTCACAAATGCCTGTTTTGGAGTGTTGCATAATGTCTTTTAAGCATAGGCTTCTCTGCTTCATATAAATCTGCTGGATTTTAGTATTCATGTAGTTTGCTTCAAATAATCCTTAAACATACCCACACTTTCCCTTTTCTGAAGAATTATTCTGTGAGTTGAGAGAACACCATTAAGATGCACTTGTGACTACTGTGCAAACAGCTTCTTCCTACTAATGATGTGCACCTGTTAGATAGTTGTGTTTAAGTGGAGCAGGTCACCTTCATATTTATGTCAGGTTTTCTGAAAAGGATACTAATGTGCAGTTAGCTAATAAAGTATAAACCTGTCTGTAATCTTATAATGAAATGTAATGTCAGTATGGTCCAGTCTCCTGATGAATTAACTTTAAATAATTAAATTCCTGTAAGCATTATGAAATTGGGTTTTAATCTTCTCCTTTTTGCATTTTCAAGTCATGTTCTGTATCACTTTTTAAGTTTGTGATATTTTAATTTTAAAAGTTAAATCTTAATTATAATTCTATAAACAAGCTTAATTCCTAGTTAGAAGGATGTCTGAAATGTCACTGAATACTTTTGTCACAGATTGCAGAGTAGTAAAATATTGAGTTGAAGTAACAATTGGATTATTTTCGTTCTCTCATGGTGTTCTCTCATTCACTTAATTCCTTTTTCCTTTATCCCCTTCCCCTCCTCCAAATAGTATGCCACATTTTGCTGCCCTTATTTTTAGGGGTGGTAATGAACAGCACTGGTGAAATCTTATGTTTATTATCATACACAGGTTCTGTTGGTTTCTGTTTCTGAGTTATTTGTTGTTTTTTCTTTATTTTTCTCCTTCCCCCCTCATTTGCTCATGTCTTGGTTGGCGTTTGGTGGTGTATAACCGTGATTGCGTTACCTTAGCAATAACAATTGGTCGTCTTGGTTACGTTTGTCCTCAAGAGGTGGCCCCCATGCTACAGCAGTTTATAAGACCCTGGTGTGTATTATTCAATCTTTTTTTTATTCATTTTTCTTCACTTTCTTCTTCCTTTCTTTCTTTCTTTCCTCTATCTCACTTCTAGATATACTTTTCAGTTGGTTACAAAAATCACTATTCTTAATCATTGCCAACCATGTGACTAATCTTGTCCTATCAGGTTTGTGAGCTTTTTTAGCAGTACCGTCATGTATCTTTTCATGTTGTGGCTAACACCTAATTGATGCATGGGATAAGATTGTCACATGCTTGATGTGTTAAAGCTTGATAATTAGAAACATTTTAAAATCCACCAGAATGATGAGATGCATGCACTTAGTGTAAATTGTTAAACACTGCATTACATTACTTCCAACTCATTTGCAATTTGACTTGCTGTCTGAAATATGTTTATAGATCTGTATCAAATAGCTTGCTTGCTGCTGTAACAAGTGAGAGATGTCTTGTTATTGGTATTTGATATATTTTATACTGTGGCAGTGTATACACTACTTTTAGGGATGGAAGCTTCTCTCTCTTTTTATATATAGAGTATTTAATGGAATA